CTTATGTTCGTTCCCTCTCTCGCTGTGTCTCTTTCTTTCAAATAAACAAACAAAATCTTAAAAAAAAAAAAAAAAAAAAAAAAGAAAATTATTCAGGATGCCTGGGTGGCTCAGTCAGTTAAACACCTGCCTTCAGTTCAGGTCATGATCCCATGACCCATTATCCCAGGGTCCTGGGACAGAGTACCATGTCAGACTCCCTGCTAAGGGGAGTCTGCTTCTCCCTCTGCCCTCACCCCAGGCTAGCGCTCTCACTCAATCTCTCTCTCTCAAATAAATAAAATAAAATAAAATAAAATAAAAAGACATTTATTTGAGAAAGAGAGCAAGGGTGGAGGGGGTAAGGGGGGTGTCACCTGAAGGAGACAGAAACCCAAGCAGACTCTGCTTTGAGCATGGAACCTGAAAAGGTGCTCAATCCCATGACCCTGATATCAGACCTGAGCCAAAACCAAAAGTCATACATCCAACTGACTATGCCACCCAGGTGCACCAACCCTACAAATATCACAGGCTAAGTAGAAAGTATAAAAAAATATTACATTTCAAATAAATGCACGTGCTTTAATCAGAAAGGAGGCATCATTTAACCACTGCCTTAAAATACAATTCTTTGAAAAGAGAAAATTCAAATGATCCCCCAAATGTTTTTTTTTCTGAATGCCAATCACGTGTTTCCTGAAAAAATGACGTGTAATCTGAAGAAATCACAAAGATTAATTTTGAAGATTATAGCTTATTTCAAAATACTATTCCAAACATTTATTCCAAACATTTCAGCACGGAAGCAAATCCAGAATAAGTACACGACTTTGGGGTGACTGGGCGGCTTAGTCGATTAAGCGGCTGCCTTCAGCTCAGGTCATGATCCCAGGGTCCTGCGATCAAGCCCCACATCCAGCTCCCTGCTCAGCAGAGAGCCTACTTATCCCTCTCCCTCTGCCTGCCATTCTCTCTGTCAAATAAATTAATTAACTAATTAAAAAAAACCTGCTTGTTGAGGCTATATTATTATAACATTACATATATAATATAATATTATATTATTTTATATAGTGTATATATTGTATATCATGATATAATACATTATCTATAATAATATATAATAAGCTACAGTTCAAGGAAAAAAAATTTCTCCCCTCCCTATTGGGAGTGGAATGGAAGGGTATTAGGAACTTTCAGGAACTTACAAATGAGGGGGTGACATTTAAAACTAAAATAGGATACACAAAAGAAAAATTCTACTACAACCAAAAGGGTCACTTTCAAAATATCTGCTCCTATTTGATCTTTCATTGTAAGGATATTTCCCTTAATCCTTCATTGTAAGAATATTTCCCTTAATTAATTTTACTTAAACTTTCAGAAATCAAATTTCTACATAGAAATCAAATTTCTACATAAAGCGAGGATGCTGAATTAGGCAAGAGGAGAGTCGGACACAGGTATTAGCTGTGCCAGTAATTAGCTCTATGACTTTAGAAGGTCATTTTACCTTTTTATGCCCCCACTGTCTTCATCTGTGAAACAAGATGGTTCATCTTACCTCACACCATACCTTAAAAAATCAACTCAAGATGTCTTGGAGTCTAAATGTAAAAGCTAAAACTGTAAGACTTAGGAGAAAACACAGGAAAGAAAATCTTTGTGAAGCTGGATTAGTAAAAATTTCTTAGATACGCCACCAAAAGTACAATCAATAAAGAAAAAGGGATAATTAAAACTTGTCAAAATTCAAAACTCCTTTGCCTCAAAAGACACTATTAAGAAAATGAAAACACAAGCTACAGACCAGGGGAAGAAATATTTGAAATCATGTATCAGATGAAGGACTGACAACCAAATGAACACATACACACACGCCCTATAACTCAGAAAGAAAATAACCCAGGGGCAACCCAAGTGGGCAGAACATTCGAATAGACATTTCACCAAAGCAGATAGATGAAAAGCTAGTAAATAAGCACATGAAGACGCTCACCATCATTAGTCATTAAAGAAATGCAAAACAGAACCACCAGATACCACTTCATACCCACTAGGATGGCTATGATCAAAGACAACAAAGCTGACAAAGATAAATAGACACCCTCATACATGCCTGGTGGGAATGAAAAATGACAGTCATTTTGAAAACGTTTATCAGTTTCTTAAAAAGTTAAACATAAATTTACCATTGACCCAGAAATTCCACACAAGGAAAAGGAAACATGTTCACATGAAGATCTGCTGAGTGAATGCTCATAACAACATTATTCCAAATAGCCAAAAAGCAGAAACAAGCCAATGTTCATCACGTGGTATCCAATAAAAAGGAATAATGTACTGGTAACAGGCTATAATATTGATGAATTTCGGAAAACATGGCAAGTCAAAGAAACCACCATAAAGGGTCACATATCATATGATTATATTTACATGAAATATCCAGAAAAGGCAAATCTATAGCAGCAGAAAGTAGTTTTGTGGTTGCCTGCAGCAGGGGGTGGGAACAGGGAGTGACTGCAAATGGACATGAGGCATCTTTTTGGAATGATGGAAATGTTCTAAAATTGGAATGTAGGGATGATTGGACAACTCTGTAAATTTACTAAAAAATTATACAATTGTACACTTATACAGGTGGACTGTGGTATAGAAATTATAACCCAGTAAAATTGTTTTTACAAATGAAGAAATATTACGCGAAGTGAAAGAAGCCAAACATAAAAGACAATATGTTATTATGATCTCATTTATAGAAAAATGTCCAGAAAAGGCAAACCTATAGAGACAGAAGGATTTGTGGTTGCCTTGGGTTGGGCGATGGGAACAGGGATTAACTGTAAACAGGCACAAGGATCTTACTGGATGATGTAAATATTCTAAAACTAGATTATGCTGGCTGGTGCACACCACAGTAAATCTACTAAAAACCACAGAATTTTGTACTTAAAAATGGGTGAATTTTATAGCAGTAAATAATACCTCAGTAAAGTTACTTTTAAAACTAAGATGGTCAATTGGGGAGGGTATGTGCTATGGTGAGTGCTACGAAGTGTGTAAACCTGGCGATTCACATGCCTGTACCCCTGGGGATAAAAATACGTTATATGTTTATAAAAAAATTAAAAAATTTAAACAAAACAAAAAACCTAAGATGGTCAAATCACACTGGAGTAACCTTTTACGCATGGCCCACTTTAAGAATGAGATGAAAACTAACCCAATCCCAGAGGACTAAGACTCTCTTTTGCCCACTTACAGACACCCTATTGGCTTGAGAATCCCAAATTAATAAGTCTTTAAATATCTAGAACCCTATGCCACCTTAATGGCTAGGCATAAAAAATGACCACAGAAAGATGTATAACTTCCCAGAAAGGAAGCAAAACTCTCTTCTAAAACAATGATGAGGATCCCCTTTCTTTACTTTTCAGACATCATTTTGAAATCTCTCACTTAATTTCTTTCTTCAGTGTGAAACTGACTGAGGGACCCAGAAGCAATCAATCAAGACAGACACCTAGCGAGCTGTCTTTAGAACCAACCAGTGTTATGTCAAATATCCAGAAAGGACACCCACGATGTGGCTTAAGGAAAAAGATGTGATTTCTTTCAGATAAAACTTAGCCCAGATTTGTTTTGAAACAAGAGGCAAAAAAAGAAAAATATATATATTTATATAAATACATGAGATAAAGTTTCTCTGAAATACAGCCACGTTGCAATAAACACACCTCTAAGGCAGCTAAAGAGCTTTCAGCCAGTCTTTGTTATAAAACTAATTTTAGGACAGGATGCTGATCTAGCAAAGCAGACAATCTCCTTCCTCCAATACAGAGGGGTCTGCTCATGTCAGTGAGATTGAGCTACTGTGTAGCTAAAGCCACCCCCTTTTGATTTCTAAAGTCACTGGATTATTGTTGTCCAACAAATACTCCCCTCATCCCAAGTCCCCACCCTCCCCCCATCACTGTGCCTGAGAATTACAATCCACCTTTGTGCAATTTTTGGTCTCGGCCAACTGGTATTCCTGGACCTCAAATCCACTCCACACAGCAGCCAGATCCCTCAGATGACATCCTGTCTCTGCCTGAAGCCCTCCAATACACTTAGAATAAAATTCCAAAATCCTTACTAAGCCTGATAAGATCCCCTTTCTACCCGTGCCAGTGTTCCCTCAGGTCCTGAAACACATCAAGCTCTTTCCCTCCTCAGGACCTTTGCACTTCCTCATCCCTCGGCAGGGAAAACTCTTCCCTGGAATCCGAAGACGACTCATCCTTCAGCGCTCAACTTAAATGTCAATGCCTCCGAAAAAGAATTTTCCTTGAAATCACACTAACTAGGTCTTCAGGTCACTCTCTATCAGAACATCTTGTTTATTTCCTTCCTAGCACTTGCCAAACCTTGAAATTCTTTTCATTTGTCTGGTTATTCAATGTCTACCTCTCTGACCAGAAAGTCACTCCCAAACAGTGGGAAGTTGTGCCTACGTTGTCTCGGTGCCCGGTACCTTCAGCTTCATCCGGAGAGAATCCCCAGCTCCACCCCAGTAATGTTTGGCACTTCGTGGGCACACAAGTGATCTCACACCCGCGCGGGAATGAACTAAAGCCCCCGTCCCACAATCCCCCAAATCGGTGGCTGTGCCCACAATTCCAACAGCCTATTTCTCACACAGCCTGCTAAAGGCCTGTCCTGTGCCTGCACTTTTCTTCCCCTCCCAAAACCATCTATCGCTCAGGTTCAAGTATCTGGCACTACCTAAATCTCTCACGAGCCGCTCAAACCCCATCCCGCCGGCCTCACAGGCTCGCCACAAAATCCCCTCCCCGCTTCGCACGCGCTGCACAAACCCAGAGCCTCACCCACGCGTCCTACAAATCCCGGGCCCCACGAGCGCCCACGAGTATCCGTGAGTCCTGGGCTCCCCGAGCTCCCGCGGGTCCCCACGTTCCCGCGTGTCACCCGCAGCCCAGCGCGGCGCCTCCCCCCTCAGCGGCGCCAGCGCTCACCGATCACCTCCTGCAGCTCGTAATCGTCCCGGTTGATGGACCAGGGCAGGGCGCTCGAGTCCTCGGACATGACGGCTGCACGGCTCGCGATCCTCCCTCAAACTCGCTGACCTCTCGTCTCCTCGCCGCGCCTCTCCCCACCCCCAACCGCCGCCGCCGCCGCCGCGCCCCCACCAACCGCCTCGGGAACAACCACGGGTCGGACGGCGTCTGGGCGCGGGGTCACCGCGCGGCAGAGCGGCGGGGGCTTGAAGCTCCGGCGGACCTCGCCTCCTGCTCCTCGGCGACCGGCACTCCCTGCCCGGCTCAGGTCCCGGCCTCGGCCTCCGCTGCAGCAGCGACAGGGTATTCGCCTGGGCCCAGCCCCTCTGTCCCGCCCTCCACCCCAGCCCCACGCACGGGCCAAACTTTCCCTTCTCCCTCCACCTGCCGACACGCAGCGCGCTGACGTCACCGCGCCGGGCATGCCCCGCCTTGGCCCCGCCTCCGGCCGCCATCTCAAGTGTGGCTGTAGAGGCACCGAGCTAGCAACAATCCCGGGAAAGTGGAAGTTGACAGTGAGAGGGAACAAAGGCTCAAGAAAGAATTCAGAGAGGGTATCAGATAGCCAGAGAGCCCAAAGTAGCAAGAAAGTGGTAGCCACACGAATCATGGCGACCAAAAGACGACCCAATGGATGAGGCGGAGCCACTCCTGGCGGCTGGGGCACGTTGCCGTCTCCGTCGTCTCAGTTATTGGTTTGTTTGAGAAGGGATCAGAAAGGCAATGGGTGGGTGTGGACGTCAGTCAAAGTTAATCCCGCCTCCGGACTCTTGGCGCGCTTCCTGGCGCCAGGGCCGCGTGAAGATCGCCAGTACCTTGCTCATTTAGCCCTTTTTCTGGAATGATGTCACGGCGTAACCGTCACATCCTCGAGACGTGCAAACGGCTCGGGAGGGTGTGGAGAAGCTGGAGGGCGCAGCTGGGTGTGGTAGCCTTGGGGTGTGGACAACAGCCCACGAAGAAAGGCCTTGAGCAGAGGGGAGGAATGGAACTGGAAGTGTGCCCCTTGACGACACCTTTTTCAAGGCGGAAGTGCTCTCTGCAGCGTCTGTCGCCGCCCTCTTTGTCACCTTATTGGGCAGGGAGGGAGTACTTGTCCAGTCTCAGCTTTGAGTCCAGAGCTCAAAGGAGCACCTGACTCTTCGAGGCGGGGCTCGAAAAGTTGGGCCTTTTCTCCTGCCGCGTCTTGGGCCATTAAACAAGTGAGATTTGGTCCCTGTGGTTTGGCATCGTTGCAAGGGCCTCGGCTTTTGTGTGACCTCCCCTAACTTGAGTTTTCTCAGGTTGACCACTTAGGTCCATTGGGGAAATTTCCTGAGGTGAAAATTGAGTGCGCTTGGTAAAATGGAAGAAAGAGTATCGGCATGAATTGGGCCAGGTGCGAAACTGTTCCCTCTTGAACATCTTTCAGGCCAATAGTAGTCATTAAGAAAAAGAGGCCTTCGCCGAGACCCTGCCAGGCCCGGAAGCCCTGTGCTGAGCTCAGCCATAGAAGGGCCGATGACCACAAAACAAAAGTTCTCAGCTAGGAGCCGCAGGAGTGGAACTGTTAGGTTTCCACCTGGTTGGTGGAATTGGAGAACGTTTCTCATGGAAGAGGGGGCATTCGTACCAGGCCCTGCAAAGGTAACATGATTTCAACAGGTGGAAATTGAGAAGGTGGAATATTCCAGTGACAGCCAAAGAGCCATTGCCCAAGTTTGAAAGCAGAACACAGGCCTTGCTGTAGCAATTGGTTTCAGCCATCACCACTGACACCTTTACTGCCATGTGTTGCCTTTATTTTGCAGGGAGTAGAGGGATGAGGATCAAATATATTAGATAGAAGCTAAAGCTGATGGTAAAGATTAGAGATCTCGAGGTTTGTACCAGTAAAAAAAAATCCATAGAGATTGTTAACCTGGGATTGTTAGCCTGCATGGACCATGGACAGACTTCAGAAGTTTGTGTAAGTTTTTTGTTGTTGTTTTGTTTTACTCCCTTGAAATTATATGCAGAATAGTATATACTTGAGGGAAAGATTTTGACCACCTTCCTCCTTCCCCCTTCCCCAATGGAAAGGAGCTACTAACCTAATAGTAAAAATAGTTTATGAATTGACCCACATTTTTGGTGGGTGGGAGAGTCACTATACATTCATCAGTGAGTTCTCTCCCTCCTCCACACATAGCCTGATGGTGTAGTTGAGCCAGAATCTGCTCTGCAAATCTGGTCATTTAATTTTGACTATCTCGAGGGCTTTCTCCATGTGGCCTGATAGAGATTAAGATTCCATGTTCTTAATGAGCAAGGAATTGGTGACTATTTGAGCCCAGGAGCCCAAACCTCAACCTCGTTCTTAGCATATGGCGTATCTTCCATGTGAGAACACTGTCATAAACTCCAGGTATACAGTGGTAAACAAAGTGACTTACTGTTTTCATGGTGCATATAGTCTAGTAGAGAAATAGTAAACAACTAAGCAAATATGTAAATCATTGCAAAGCATCATGCAGAAACGGCTAGTACAGATCTCCAACTTGTGATGGGGTTATGTCCCAAAAAACCCATCGTAAGTTGAAAATACTGTAATTGAAAATGTGCTTACTACCCCTAACCTGCCGAACATCATAGCGTAGTCTGGCCTACTTTAATCATGGTCAGAACACTTACATTCACCTAGAGTTGGGCAAAATCATCTAACACAAAGCCTGTTTTATAATTGTTGACTATCTCGTGTAATTGAATACTGTAAAAAAACAGAATGGCTGTATGGGTACAGGATAGTTGTAAGTGTATGGTTGTTTATCCTGGTTATCATGTGGCTGACTGGGAGCTGTGACATCTGCCACTGGCCAGCTTAATGGGACAGGATTGTCCCACATAGCACTAGCCTGGGCAAAGATCCAATTCAAAATTTGAAGTAGTTTCTACCAAATGTAGAATGTACCATCATGAAGTCTAAAAATTGTAAGTCAAACCATTGTAAATCGGAGACCATGTGTATACCGTGCTAGAAAATACTTAAGGAGTTTGGCAAACACCCTTTTTGAGAAAACTCTAGAGGAAGCCTCTCATACAGAGAGTATTTTAAATAGGTAAAGGAGTTTTAGGCACTTTTAAAGCTATTAAAGTGATACTTTCATTCCTGTTAGTATCCTGCTGCTGGTCCTTGTATATCGCTCCCTCAGTAATGTTTTGGAAGATGGGGAGTGGGAGGAGGGAAAGAAGTTAGGTGATTCTGGAAGCCTGGCCCTAATATCAAAAGTTCACCAAATCGTACCTAGATTTTTTGAAATTATGACATATTTTCCTGGGGGAAGAGACCTTATTTTTCCTCACATTTTCAAAGAAGACTCTGTGTTAGTTTTGGTTTCTCCCAAAATCAGGCACTGAAACCAAGATTTGGATGCAAATAGTTTATTTAGGAAGTGTCCCCAAGAGGTACTCTGACAGAGTGGAGAAGTGAGACAGGAAGGAAAATTGAAGGATGAATTCATGAGGCTCAATCATGCTCTGAACTGTCTGAGAAATAGAAACACACCCCAGAATTGTCCCATGCAGAGGCAAGGTAGCTGAGGTACTTACCCACCATCTCCTTTCCCTCTTTAGGGGATTAATGCTCCTGTACTTCTACCCAGCCCAGTGCTGGGAAAAAACATGCTCCTGAAGTCAGGAGAATGTACTCAGGCAACAGACACAGGTGATCTTCCTCATGTACTAGAATGCTCTGAAAGCAAACTCCAGAATAAGCCCAAAGGGTGTAGACAGCATCTACTCCAGCATGGTGGGAGCATGAGAATACAGGAGACATGCACAAACTAGGAGTGTGGAGCCTGGTGAGAAGCTGATATCTTGGCTTACCCAGGAAGCAAATGTCCAAGGGGACAGGCACTCAGAGCGTATAAGAAATAGGTCGGTGCAAAGGTTACTATAGGAAAAAAAAATCAGTCTGTGCAGAAGGGCGAATCTCAGCATCAGCTGGATTCTGAGCCAGGGAGTAGCTTGAGGCTCAGCCAGACTGGCACCATGCTGCCAACTTGATGAGCTCCAGCCAAATGAAGCAAGAGATAAGAGATACCTCATCGAGGTGGAGCAGGTTCCCAGGTGCCTGCTCCATTTCAAATACTTAAGGGTTTAATATGTCTAAAAACCTACCTCATTAGGATGGGTTTTTTTTAAGATTTTATTTATTTATTTGAGAGAGAGGCAGTGAGAGAGAGCATGAGTGAGGAGAAGGTCAGAGAGAAGCAGACTCCCCGTGGAGCTGGGAGCCCGATGCAAGACTCGATCCCAGGACTCCAGGATCATGACCTGAGCCGAAGGCAGTCGTCCAACCAACTGAGCCACCCAGGTGTCCCCATTAGGATGTTTATTATAGCATCATTGTAATAGGGAGAAGCTGGAAATAATCTACGTGTTCATTGATAGAGGACAGGCAACTGCTTATTACTTCGAACATTTCAGGATACATAAGAAATATGTGTATTGTTATAATTAATGCTAGCTAAAATTACAGCCCCAAAAGTTGACTGGTTTAACCCAAAAGCTTATTTCTTAATGCAGATGTTCCTAGTTCCTCTCCTCCAAGCAGAGAATTGGAGATTTTGGCCTGTAATGTCTTGTGGCAGCATCTCCTAGGGCCTCCTTGGAGTTCTCCACTGGACTCTGCATTCAGCCAGCTAACTAACTAAGGGAGAGAAAACCACAAAAGGTAGCAAACACTGGAAATTCTGTTTGTTACTTCCTCCCATGTGGTGTTGGTCAGACCGAGTTGTCTGACCGCAACCCAAGTCACGGAAACTGGGACATGGCTTCCGGTGTGCTCAGGAAGAAGAAATGGCAGTGGTGAGCATCTGGTCAGTTTCTACTGCATCCTCTAACTTTGGTTGCCTCCAGGCCAGTGCTACTGAGTTCCTGAGGAAGAGGAGTAGGAGGAATATGCTCTTGTACACACTGGGTTTTATAAATCCAAATAGTACATGCTCAAAAAAATTTATAAAAAGAAGACTGTGAAATTATGGGTCATCCATACCGTGAACTATCACACAGCAGCTAGAAAGAATGAAGTACTTCCATGCATACT